TGTGATAGGTCTTTTAAAGCTTTGGAGTTTTTAAGCTTTAAAATTTTAAGTTAAAAAACTTAAAGCATTTTAAGTTTTTAAATGAATGACTTCATTTGTGACAGTGTAAATGTGCTGGAGCAATTAGCTCAGGATACTAAAGCCACACCTGGCTTCCACTATTTGTGGGGTAACAAGGCATGCGAGACTAGTTCATAGATATTTTCATTCTCTGTTAAGTCTAAAAACTCATTTTGATTATGAATGGAATATTTTCAGCATTGTGTCCATAAAGCACGTGACTACAAGTTGATTTTTCTAAGAAAATAATCTTGTGCAGGTGGCAAGTTGGTGTAACCCAACAATAAAGGTAAATGTACCCCAGAAAGTTTTCGTAATGTGTTTCCTAAGGATAAAGTTATGTATATGATGAACAATGACCTAGCAAAAAAGAAAAAGAACAGAAAGGAAATGAGGAAAGCTGATACTTTGGTAAAGTTCAAAGTTGTTTCTTAGTTTCTCCAAGTAACTATCATATATTTATAAACAAAAGTCTCAAACACACATGCAGTCATCATTTAGTTATTTAACAAAATTTATTGTCTTTCACTCTGTCTGAGGCTTAATACACAAAGCTGAGACCTATACACACTTGTGCACAATCTAAGGAAGCACATAAAAATATGGTAAGGTTACTATTGCCCTTTAAATTCTTTATTGTGAACTTATCATTTAGGATGTTGTATACTATATCACAGAAACCTCATTATCGAAGATCTGGAGAGAATGATCTCAGTCTTAGTAACAGGAATACTATGTCCTTCTGAACAATTGTCTTGGGTTTATCTTAAATACTCTGAAGAATAGAAATGGCTTCTCTCTCATTGAATTAGCAGCTAGAAAGCTTAAAGCTAATTTGGAACATAACTCCAGTAAACAAGGAGAACCTTGCATTATCAATTTTATATATAGACCTTCCATTCAGATTCAACTGACCTCACCTTTATTTACTTTTCATTGTTGCTGTTCTTTAAAAGTGATTCAAATCCTCTTAATGATAAAGAAGGGTGTAACAAAATAAATAAGCTGAGAGCCACAGGGAAGAGCCTAACTCAGGCTTGGACTGTTGTTGACAGAGTTAGGAAAGGAGCTATGGGACAGGTGGGGAACACATTGTGATAACAATTACAATAACAGCTGTAGCAGTTATTATTAATAGTAACAAAGACTGTTATGCGTTGAAGAATAAAGAATGACTACACTTTACAATTGTGCGTTTCTCCTATGTATCTGTGTTTGCAAACATTCTTTCCCTTCACAGCAACCACAAGAAGTGCAATAGACATTAATGTCCCCATTTTACGGATGGGGATATTGATGCTTAGAGATTTTAGTAATTGGCCCAAAATGCCACCTCAATCCAAGTCTGTCTTGCTTCACCACTCTCATGTGACAAAATAAAGAGGCTTGATAGGGTGTTGCTGATGAGAGCAGCTCCAGTCTGCCCAAAGCTCAGGGTGCGTGTGGCGAGGCAGCGAGAGGTGCAGCTGCAGAGGGCTAAGTCAGGAATAGTATTTCTTTAGGTAATAGAAAGATTTCAAGGATTTTAGTAAGGGAAAGTGGAGACAAGAGAAGAGGGGCTTTAAACTCTGACCCTTCTGAAGTGTAGTAGCATTGTCTGAGTTTATGCAACAAAGAAACTCTGAAAGCTCATGTGCCATATAGTTCACCACACATCACAGATCATGATGACTCTGGTGTTCAAAAGCACTGCAGTGGCATTTACATCCAATGGAAAATATTTTTTTTTACATAAGAAAGATTTACATTCACCCCCATACCTGTGAGTCCCAATACCAACAGCCTATATAGATGTTTAATTCAGGGAGTTTTACACAGAATATTATTTCTCTTAACAAAAATATTTACCTCCACTCATACATTTTCCTGCTATCTTACCCTCCTCAAAATTTTTTGTTTGTTATGATTTGCGATTGACAAGCTTTTATTTTTGGAGTTATAATATCAAAAATGAGGACCTATCATTGAACAAACAAAGATTAGGTTACCGATTAATCTAAACAAGAATTAGGATTCTTCGGCATACCTAAGTAGCACACAGCCCAATTTTCAATGGTATATGCACACAAAGGACATCAAATGATTGATTTCAGCTACCAGTCTACCAACAGAATAATAGTGGTCAACATGGCACCATGATTCTGGAAATTTTCTGATTATCTCCTTTAAATACAAAACTATTTAAAGAAAGAGGAGTTGTTTCACCACAAAGTGTTCAATGCAGAATCATTTCATTCTAGTGTTCAAAGGGCGAACATTCTAAGCTGTTCATACATCTATGCATGTTATCTCTCACTCCCAGAATACTAAAGCTTCCTTCAATTTCTGGAAAGATAGTCTTGTAAATATAAGAACGGCTATCAATTTTGAGTGATTCCATGTGTCATGTCCTATTCTAAGTGCTTTACATATAATAACTCATCTGATGAAACATTTGGTTAAACTGGACAAAGAAAAGCCTTAAGTAATTCTTGGAAGAGAACATAAATAATCAGAGAGGAACCTAAGATTATTACAACAAAACTTATGCCTCCAGAGTAATCCATGTAAGCAAATCAGCGCTGCACATAAAGATTCATTTAACTGCTCAATCAATGAGTTGAATATTTGCCATATATCTGCTAATGATCAAGTGTCACACACAGTCCCTGGCCTTAAAGAGCTTATAGTCAGGTGACAGGTAAAAGGGGCATAAAAAATAGTAAGAGTTTATAATACAGCTGGGGGAGGGGGACAATACAAAGAAATACCTTTTATAAAAAGCAGATTGTCTTTTGATAAGCAAAGACCCAGTTTCATCAGTTAATGAAGAGAGCAGTAGGAACTGAATGAATCTGACAGCCTCTACAAGAACACATGTGCCAACCCAGACACCAGAATCTGGCAAATCTTTGTATCTATTTAGAATCTTTGGTTCACTTATAAGCAAGAGAATTGGTGATCAGGTCTCAGACCTAAAAAGTTAAAATGATAAAAATTTCTTACATATTTAGACAATACCTTTATTTCAAATATGTCTAACTTAATCTGATCACCTTTCACTAATACACTGACAACCATCCACCTTTTCCACAGAGTAGGTATAAAAACATAACTTTAACCCCATAATTTCCAAACCATTTCCCCTGAACTTCAATAGGCTGTTGTTATAAGAACCCCCATCCCAAACAGCATCATAGCCTCTGCCACAGGCTACGTTAGAGAAAGGCCCTACTGCTGTTCCAGTCCCCCCCCACAAAGCCTTTGGTGTGGACCCACAATGATTACAGCGATGGTGATGACAAGGTGATGATGGTGGTGGCCATGACAGCAGCTGCTGCTAGTTATTGAGTATGTCTCTGCTTGAAACGCTGTGCCAATATTCATTATATCACTGAAGCTTCACAACCACCCCAGGGGGAAGGGAATATTATGCTCATATTATAGATGAAGACACTAAGGTTCAGATTTAATAACTTGCCCAAGGTCATACAACTAATCAAGTGGTAGAGCTGGATATTGAATCCAGGCCTAATTGACTCCAGAGCCTGTGTAGCAGGAAGCTACCTCCTCCCCTGCCCTCCATGAGGAAGTAATTAGATAGTGCAATCGTCATCTTATGTTTCTGACAACCACTTTTCTCTCTCACCAGGAATTATATCATTTATATTAATGTAAAATTGGTTGTTGAGATTTTGCTTCTTTAACCTCCCTTGCTTTCTGACTGTAGTTTTAGAAGACACAAGAGGACTGTGTGTGAAGACACATGTGTGTGTGTGCGTGCACATTAAATATGTATGCACTTGCCATTGTTAAAATCATACATTGAAAAGAGGAGGTATGTAGGTGGGAGATGCATTTTAAAGATAGACATGGTCAAACCCCAGTCTTTTCATTTACCGGGCATATGATTTACAACAAGTCATTTGATCCCCAGCGTGTCAGTTTCATTGCCTTAAAATGGGACAGTTAAAATGCCAAGACTTTTGCCATTAGGCTTAACTCTAAGGAAATTTATATGTAATAACTGGCACAGAGTTAAATACTCAGAATTGTTCTTTCCTCTTCTAACCGCTGTCTCTTTTTCATGCTTTCAATCCATAATCTTATTTCTGTGTATACAAAAGACCAAAATCGATGTGTATGCCAGACTTTTCATGGTGTATTTATATCCTAAAGAAAGACTTAGACGTGACACTGCTATGACGTAGGGTCATTGGTTTCTACCTTCTGTGAACAGGGAACTCTAAATTTCATAGAAGTATTCGTTATGCTCTCAAAATACTGGAGGGCATGCTTATACTATAAGCCGCTAGTTTAGCTGATCCATAGTTGCTTCCAGACACTTTGTGACTAATATCTGTGAGTTTATCATCTCACTATGCAGAAAGTAAATACTCTACTTTTACTCATCTCAGTATCAATCATCCTACAGGTATTCCACAGCATCCACAGCATCCCTGGGAGTCTTCCTCCTATATCCCAGCCCTTCATCCCTATCTGTCAAACTCTAAAAAGTGTAGACTTTAGTTGCTCTAAGTATAAATAATCAATGAATTTACCTTACACTAGGGGCTTTGCAAAGCTTAGATGATACCCTTCTATTCAATACCATTTGGTATAAACTTTATTTGTTGACCATTCACTCTAATGCACCAAACTCCTCTCAGACTAACAGAGCAGGTCCAGCAAGCAAATGCACATTTTAGTTCTTCTGACTGAATTGTACATAATTTAAATATAGTAACGTGTGATAGATCCACTGAGAATTCTGCTCTTGTTACAGAAATGTACGTTGTACACAGGCCAGCCCAAGGAGAGGCCTGACTTCATGCCTGGTGGGGCTCTTGTCTGTAATCACATAGGCATCTCTTAATCATCTGCTCTCTGTAGAGCTATACATATGTTCTCTTAAATGACTTTGCCCTACTGTTACCCTAATTTGAACTTTTATTTTTCAGCCACATAAATAGAAGAACACAGTTTGAAAACCCTGTCCTGGAAGCAAAAAGGAAGCTACAGCAGCATAACATGCCCCACACAGAACTTGGAACCAAGCCGCTGCAGGCCCCAGGTTTCCGAGGTTGGTACCTGTCACTGAGCAGTGTTTCAAAGGGAAAAATTGTCTATCAAACTGTCTGCTCTTCCAACATACATGCCTTTAGCTTAGACTCTTTGAAATAATTGATTTGCTTTCCCCAAACTCTTCTATTAGCTTTGGCTGGGTGTTTGCTGTTTCTAAACTAATGCATTTAGAAACCACAGATTAAGTTAAAGCCTCGGGCACTACGTTATAGGAATTTACAGCACGTAGCCAGGTAGAGATTAATGGGTTTTTGACAGTGGTACTTTAAACTGCAGAGATACACAGAGAATCATAAGTTTGTCCTCATAAAACCAAGCACCAGAATGAGGCTTGTTCTCCTTTGTGACAGTAGACAGCTCCTCATCGACAATACCTAGGCCCAAATCCTTCTGCCCCCGCGTTGTCCCCGGGAGGTCGCACAGCGTGAGTGACTTGCCCTATTATCCACGCAACTACGCCTGGAGGCCCTGGCCCATCGGTATGTCCGTGGCTGCTTGCTGCACCTGACTACGACTTGGAGCCACACAATGGGATGAGATGCTGCACAAAGTTTTCACGTCCTCGTGGGCTCTTACTCATCGCGAAAGCAAGGAGGCTTTTGTAGCTGGGAGGCCTAGATTTGCCTGCTGATGACCTTCACGCCATGCACTACGGCACAATTACAGTGAATGTAAAGGTCTAGAATTGAACTCCTTCTCCAATTATAAACGTTACTTTCATAAAGAAAAACTAGGTGACAAGATTATGTATGTGCTTTTTATTTTTATTTTAAAGAAACTTTCTCTATTTTTAACAAAGATATGTGATATGTAAATAAAGTAAAATTTGAATATAATAGCTTATTATTTTATAGTTTGTCCATTACATATCACCAAAAATGTAACAACAGAAAAAATGTCATACAACATACTTAACTAAGTTACCATGTACCGGTAACTTAGTTGCTTGTTCCAAATATCAAATCCTATTAACCAAACTGCAAGAACTAAAAGTGTATGTATAAAATATTTGACTATGATAGCATTTAAAAGATACTAATTCTCTTTCTTAGTATGATTATTATTTTTAAAGCATTTAAAAATATTTATTAGAGATCATAGCTGCAAAAGCATCTTCTATAAGAAATTAATGGTCAAACCTATATGAGTGGATTCAAGTTCTGTTTAGATTCTTTAGGTACATGATTTGGATGTGTCAATGTATTGTTATAAATGTGTTACCTTTACATTCATAATTATACCTAGAAATATTGGCTTGCCTTTTGCTCACATTTTAGAATATACTAAAACTCTATCAGGTCAGCAGAAATTGATTTATCTGGTTATCTATAGCATCTCACAATATAAGCAAAAGTTAACTCAGTCCCACATCCAGATATACGTTCTAAACAATTTAGATACGTCAGCTGGTGGCAACATTCCATTGCTTCTACTCTTTTTAAAACAAAGTAGTCCATTTTGGTTTTCTAGGCCTATCCCTTCAAGGTTTTGTGTTGGACCAGCCACACACATACCTCCCACCTGGACACTTAGAATAAGAGCAACGTACCCAGATGCCTCCGGATGATTTTGGCTCTTCTTTATCTGAAGGCACTGATGGTCTGTTGATTTAGCCCTTTTAAGCACAAGAGCTACTTTAGTGAATAGAAACCATTGACTTGACAAAAAACCTCTCCAAACCAAGGTGCTTCGCCACCTTTCCCTGGATGCTTGGGACTGCTCTGTGCCTGTAGAAAATACTAAAAGCTTTGCTCCTGCAGTCACCCCTGCTTGCATTTACTGTAGGACACCCGCACATTACCCCAGGATGGCTGCTCAGTGGCTGGCTTTCCCCTGTGTGAGAACTTGCCTTAAATGCGCTTTTTCTTTTTTGACTTATATTGGCCAATGTAGAAAAACCACTCTTCACCCGGGATGCATCCCAGTTGAAGGGAACATTCCTCAGCACCACCCTAAAAAAGAGCAACATGGGTTTTGGATTTACCATCATTGGTGGAGATGAGCCGGATGAGTTTCTGCAGGTGAAAAGTGTGATTCCGGATGGGCCCGCGGCACAGGATGGAAAAATGGAAACAGGTAAGTTCCTAAGTGCTTTCTTAGAAAATTATTTTGCAATATCTTTCTTTCTATGGTAAATGTGAGGAGCTTCTTTCCGTGTTTTTAATTTGGAGGTCAAAGGTCACTTCACTTGAAGAAAACCACAAATTATTTCTTCTGTTTTTAAGAGCATCGAATTGAAGTATTTTGGAAACAGCTTGAAATGTCGTTTTTGTTGCATTTTTCAGACCACCCTTCCATTTGATGGTTTCAATGGACTCTTGAGATTGACACTTTTCTAATTTAATTCTAGAGTTTCTTCTTAGAGATGTGATTAACATTCATACTTTTCTAGCTCATTCAGCCATTGATATTTTTAATCTGTATTAATTTTGTAATATTCTCATGATGAATTGCCCAGATTAGATATTTAAATATTCATGCTTAATCCATAGAAAAAGTTTTAAAATGGTATTCATCTTTATATGTCCCATACATTTAAATATATAGGTTTCCTCTCTAGTCCTTATGAATTAATTTTCATATGTAGTTACTTGGATGTTTATCAAATTATAAACAAAGTTAATTTAGCATAGAAATGCACAAGGAAATTATTAAGGCTAAAAAATATAAAATATGAAAGGTGCACAGAGCTCAAGAAAAAAAGTAATGAACTAAGTCTGATTTTGTAGTCTAATTTTAAATTATGCCACCTGGCTCATGACTTTGGATTAGTCCCATAATTTGTAAATGCTTGTGTGGAAAAAAGAAGAAATCAAATTTGATCTTGTGTACTTAAAATACTGATTCAAGAATTGTGTGGTGTTGTTTTTGAAATGTCTTGGAAAAAGTATTACAAACTGTAATAGTCTAAAGAATTGTATCAGTATTTCACATTTTTTACAACATTGATTTAACTTATTATATCAACTTATGAAAATCAGTGGGTTCTAGTAGATACACAAATTAGAGAATTACTTTTGGAGAAAAGTTATGTCATTTGTAGAGTCTATAGATTTATTCCATAGACTTTAAAATACTTGGTGTATGAAGAAAAAAAACATAAAATTGAGATATTTGTCTGCGTTTTTAATTTTAAAAATGACCAGTTCTTCATTGCCAATTACTAGATGGTTTCTGTAGACATGACCTCTTTTCAGTGTCATCTAATGAATATATTTGTCACTCCTACTCAATAGTAATAATACATTTAACAGATGCAAGAGCTCCTTAAAATTTGAATGAAGTTTCAAAACTAACTCATCACATTTTTCAAACACTACTGTTGTAAAAAATTGTGTAATAATTTTCTGCAAGAGTAAGCTTGAGAGTGTCCAACTCTACTGTTCATCTGGTGATATCTTACTAGGCATTCACACCTTTATGTTGCAAAAAAATCACAAAGAAACATCAGAAGACTCAACTAAAAATCATCATAATGCCTACAGTTAGAATAAGAGGAAATTACAGAAATGTTATCTTAGCAGAGGGGAAAATATCTCCAAATCTTTTAAACTTCAGTGAAATATTTAACATACCTATTTATTTTTATAATAAAGGATCTAGCAATTTTTTTCTCTAATCCAACCAACTGTTCCCTCTTTCAAACTAGAAAATACCTCTTTTGGTATAAATTTAAAACACAAAATAAAATGAAAATATTTGCACAACCAAGTTTTGTCCCCTTCCTATTCATTTTCCTAGTTTGCCATACCCACATATTCTAACCTAGGCTTCTTCAACAACAAAGTCAAAGTTCTATGTAGAGTTTGTGACATTTTCCTTTAAGATAATCACAAAACAGGTTCTAATAGAGAAAGAAGAACCTAGGATTAAATTCTATGTACTGTCTCCTATTTTTCCCTGTTTATTAATGTAACAAGCACTCACTAAGCCCTTCTCTTCCATAGTCATTGCAGTATACCAGGACTGTATGAGTGGACATGACAATGTCCTGGCTCTCCAGGAATTTGTATCTAGGAGGGCCTTGGATATATAAACAAGTAATTGTAACATATGAACAGGATAAGTCTATAATAACCATGAGGTTGGCACAAAGTCAGAAGGATGGGTGAGGGGAATAAGCAACAGAAATTTTTAAAAGGAAAAGCATGTTCCTAACTATATAATTGTATTAGGCTTTTGTAAGGATGAGAATTTCTCTCATCTGAAAAGAATTTAATAAAACATTAAAATATGCTTACTAAATATTCAAAAGTATTAATTTTAAATTTTGAGATAACTTAAAATGTGAGTTCATTTCTGTGGCGTTCCACACATAATATTAAAAGGAATGGCTTTTCAGTTTAGTTGAGCTACTGTTTAGTGAACATCCATCTGTGCCAGGCATTCTGCTAATTGTTAAGAATGCAAACATGAAGATACAAATGTTTCTAATCTTCAAGAAGCTTACAGTACCGAAATAACAAGTGGCATGTTAGTGAATATTTATATCAATGCAATAATAAAAGTATGTACAAAATCCACAAACAGTGCAGAGGAAAGGGTGATCAATTCCTTTGGGAAGTACTTAGGGAAGGACTCATGGAGAAGATGGTGCCTGCCAGACTTCTGGGTGATCAATAGGCGGTTGTTAAATGGGCAAGTGAGGAGAGCTATAGGAAAAGGAAACTGCATATGAAAAGGCACAGTAGAATAAGTACCTAGAAAAGGATTTCTATGTTCTCACTGTGTACATTAATGTTATATCTTCAGTGAATGTTCATGGGAAGTATCTAGTAAACTGATAACAGTAACCCATAAACACGAACTATTTAGACAAACATCAAAGAACAGTATGTAGTCAAATTAAAAACATAGATATCATAAATGCATACATGCCTATGTATAAAATCTTTCTCATATAAATTTTCAACCAATTAACCATAGAGACTTACCCTATAATTGATGTTTTCTTTACTTGTTATCCCTGCAGTGCCAGGCAGATAGAAGGTGCTCAATAAGTACTGGATGGATGGATCAATGCTCTTAGAAATTAAGAAGTGAAATTTTAATTGGCTGAATCCCCAGTACTATAATATAGCCAAGTCCAGGTAATTGGACCAATAGCTTACCATTGAAGCAAAAAAAAAAAAAAAAAAAATTTTTAAGCCAGCTTTCCAGTTTCTGGATGAAATTAAGAAGAACAATACACATTACGGACAAATCTTCCTTTTTAAATAATTTCATCTGTAAATGAACCTCAATATTAACAAAATTAATAGACACTAAATCATTGGTATTTAAAAGGTAAGAGGTCTCATCTGACATTGAAATAAACATGAAAATATTTTATTCCACTTTGTAGCTCTATATTTTCTCTAATTTAGTCAGAGATGTCAATAGTTTATGTACTAAGACACTAAGAAAAATCTGCTCTGCTAAGAAGTTGACCCAGGATCCTGCAGAATAGAAGGGTGGAATGGTAACTCCTTCTTTCTCAGTCAGTACTGAGTCCTGGGAAGGGGCAGAGAGAGTAGAGAAAAGGAGGACACCATGCTCCTGGCTGCTTTATGACAACCACTTGTGCCAATCCCTGATGGCCAGATAGTGTTTCTGAAGAAGCTTTCCTAGAAGAAATTACCACAATGCCCAGAAACCATCTGATTCTTAAGTACTCTATACATCCCAGCAACCATTTGTAGGCACAGAGATCCTGATAACAGTCTTTAAAATATTTTAAAATTCAAGATTGACGTAACACAATTTACATAGAAACCTCAGAGTCTGAAAGAGTTGATCTAACCAGCTTCCGTTAAAAAGCTTCCCTCATTATGTGATGTTTCATGTGTTTCCCTGGCTAATTTTTGAATCAAGGCTTTTGGTTTTCAACAAATATATGAGGGAGAAAAGCTGATGCATCCATAAAGTTCTACAGAATTATGAGGACACTCACAACCTGTTATGTGCCTTCCTCTAATATTTCTCCCTTTTATTAGTTAAAACGGCAGGAAGCTGTCTGGGAGACCAACGTCCTATGGCTCCTGGCATTTCTCCACTTGGCGGATCGATGTTACTTCTCTTTTACTAGTTGCTACCTCTCTATTTGTGTTTCTAAAAGCAGAGGCACAAGAATAAATTTGCGAGAATCCCTCTGGGAAATTTTTAAGGATGCATATTCTGTGTCCCTAGATCTACTGATTCTGAACTGCTGGAACCAGTTTTCCGGTATGTGCATTTAAAAATTGTCAAGTCAATACATGCACATGGGAAAAAACATCAAAATATTTATAATGCGCACAGTATCTCCTGCCCTGCTCCTCCCTGTCCTCTAGATCTGTGTCCCAGAGGCACAACTACTTTTGTACTTTTTTAGATGTTTCTTTTGGTAACTATTTTCAGACCTCTAATTAATGTGTTTATACTGTTGTCTTGATTTAACAGTTTTAGACATGCCATATTTATAGTAATTCCTTTTAGAAAGAAATGAAGCTTTCATTCTCTTATCCCTCATCTGCCCTCCCACATTGTCCCAAGAGAGATTTACAGCAATTTTAGTAATATTTGCACAGTCTTTGCATTACAATGGCTTCATAAATTCGCTCACTGACCCCAGTGCTATACCATTAATACATTTTCCCCCTAAACACATTTGTGGAATTTTACTTTTCCTTTCTTTTTGGCAATATCCTTTTAAAAAAAATAATACTTTTTTCCTCAAAACACCATCAGTTTTGGTCCTGTAGGGGTTTCTTTTTTTCTGGGCATCTTTGTCCTCCTACTCCTTCCTGGCCTATTGCACACTGACATGTGGAGTTTTCAGTCATGGCTCTCCCAAGCAGGGCCCACCGTTACTCATATCTATATCCCCTTTAAAACTAAAGCACTGTTCTCATCTGTCTGGTGTCCCTCAATTGTCCATACTTAAAAGTGAAACATTGAAATGTTCCTTGGGAGTTCTACATTTATGGCAGAGTTTGAAGACTGGTCAGATTTTACCAGGGGTTATAAGGCGGGGGCAAATTATGAAAGTCTGCTCAAAGGGGCCATGCGTTTTCCTGGAGACGCCCTCACCCTCTCCCTCGGGGTGGGTGCTGGGA